GATTCAGATAAGAAAATAGTTCCTGATATGTTAGTCACCACTCGAGTTCCATTAGGTATCATGATAGAGATTTCCTGTATATTGTGGATTGATTCAAAAAGAGACAATATAGAACAAGTATGATCTGTTGCTCCTGTATCTAGAATCCAACGAATATTACCTGATGTGTTGTTTGAAGATGCTAATATTGGAGTTGCATTCAACACAGTTGCACTTGCCAAATTAGTGGAATGAATTGTTTGCTGCTCACTAGTTGGATGGGATCCTTCATCTTGCAAGAGGCTTAACAATCTCTGATATTGCCCGTGAGGTAATGAAACTCCTACTTTCGATTCATCATTAAAAACAGTTGTGTGACTATCTCCACCAAGCTCTTGTTGCACAAGATTAACTGTACTATTCTGTCTTCCACCTCTTTTATAACCAGGAAGAAAACCATGAATCTGATAACAAGTTTCAATGGTTTGGTTGGGCTTCCCACAATGAGTGCACATCTTAGTGCCACATCCTTGGCCTCTTATGTTTGGCCTTGGTTTTCCTTTTCTGGAACAAATTTTCTGTCATAGTTCGAAGTATTAGCAAAAGCATGAGACAAAGATGACTCACCTTGTGATACAGTATCGAATTGTCTTTCCTGTTGAGCAACTAAAGAGAAAGCTTGTGTGATATGAGGCAGATGATCAATCATCATTATTCGAGATCTGACATGAGCGTATTGCTCATTCAAACCTTTCAAGAAACGTACTGTTTAGTCTTGTTCTTTATGAGTTCGAACCAGGTGAATGAGTCCACAGTTGCAAGGTACTGCACATAGACACAAAGGCAAAGGACGAATATTATCTAGTTCATCCCAAAGAGTCTTTAACTAAGAAAATAGTCAGTCACATTCATCTCTCCTTGATGAAGTTTATACAAATCTTCTTGAATTTCAGATAATCTGAATATATCAGATTGACAAAAGCGATTCTTCAAATCATTCCACACGTCTGAAGCACGATTCATCCATAGAATGGATCTCTCGATCGAATTGCTTATGGATCTGTGAATCCAAGCAAGAACTATGTTGCATCTCTGCCAAGCAACATATGAAGGATCATCAGCGGATGGTGGAGCAATAGTTCCATCAACAAATCCAAGTTTATTCTTGGATAATAAAGCCATGCTCATACCCCGAGCCCATGTATGATAATTCTTTCCACTCAGAGGTGGATTCACCAGAACGAGAGAAGGATTCTTGTTTGGATGCAAGAAAAAAGGATGACCTGGATTGGTCAAGTATTCTGGAACGTTATCTGCCATTGCAGATGAAGAACAGTGAACAAGAAATTAACAAGAAGAAAGAAGATGCAGCAGAAATGGTGGATACCAGAGCTAGGATAGCTCTGCTACCATCTCACAAATCAAGAATTGAGAGAGGAAGACTCGAGAGAGAAATTGTGAATTTCATCTTGTAGATTAAAATTGATTCAGAAAAAACTAACTACTGTTTTACTTTACATAGCTTATATATGATAAAATTAACAGGGAATTATTCTGATAGAAACTTCTAGTAATCTAACAGAATTCTAACTAACTCTAACTAAGTCACGTGGGATCTGTTGCTCCATATGAAGAGCTGACGTGGCTTCTTTTATCAGTGATTGCATTAACTTCCAATATTATGTGTGTTGCGTAAAATCGGCAAGTGCACTGATCGTACCAAGTAATAAAAAAGTGAATAGAGTATCGTCTCCACGAGGATTGAGGACCTAAGTTGTTATAACTATTCCTCTCTTGTTGGATTAATCAAAATAGGTTGAAAACAATTGTGGTTTATGAAATAAACTAAAACAATTAAAGAAAGACGTAAATGATTCCAAAAATGCTTCAGAATGCAAGAACAAAAGATTACGGATGGAGACAATATTTGAGAAAATATTGCGGTAAAGAGAAACACACACCTTTCTGATCCCCACCTTGCAACTTTGATTACGTTTACGTTTACCTATTCAATTGATCGAACGATTCATCATCTTTTATATGATTAGTTAAGCCCTAATCCCTTAGTGACTTGAACCTTATTAACTCTATTAGAATCCTAATCCCTTAGAAATCCCTTTTTGAGTTAACCCTTAGAATCAATGAACCTTTAACGTTCGTGGTTCATGTAACTTATCCCTAGTGCGTACATGAACAATTATCTTATTCTTTGTCAGGAATTAGAATTCCAACATCCCTCATGAAAACCCTAACCCTCGCAATCCTACTAGATTAATCAGTTCCAATAGAATTATAGAATGAAGAACAAGAAAAGATAAATTCAATTAAAATAGATAAACATAAATCTCAACCAAGGTACAAGGGGTTCACATCAAGGATTGTGACCCTTACCACAATGATAGAACTAGCCAGACATATTCATGTCTGACAAAATAAAAGTAAAAGAAATTGACATTCAGAACCTAAAAGAGAAAAGGAAGATGAAGATCTTCCGTCTTGATCGACCGAATCCTTGAATCTCCAAGAAGCTCCAAGGAATTCCCACTCTCTTTGTTGTTTTTCTCTTCTTGATTGTCCAAAAGTTTTCTCCTCCCTCTGTTTCTGATCCTTTTATTAGGTTTTGGGAAAACCTATTTTCAATTGCCCTCCAATTGGGCCCTCTTTTGTGTAATTCGCATCAGAAAACAAATTAAAAAGTATCGCCCACGCAATTTGTGCCAGCTCCCGCGCAAATTGCACGGGAAAACAGAGTTGAAGCTGCCAAATGGCGCGATTTGCGCCACTCCACGCGCAAATTGCGCCAACCTCGCGCAAAATGCGCCACTACCCGCGCAATTTGTGCTAAGACACAGAATCTTCAAGTTGAAATGGCGCAATTTGCGCTATGCTCCGCGCAAATTGCGCCAGCTGGAAAACTGCGACTTCTCTCGTTCACTTCATTTTTGGTGTTTCCTGCTATTAAAAAGCATAATTTGAGTGAGAGACTGATTGAGAATGAATAATCAATATTTCTTGCATTTATGACTTATTTTCACACATTTATGATTAATTCCTTGCTTCTTTTAAGTTAGAAAGCATCATATGCTAGACGCACATCAATGTGTCCACACCTAACTTGCCAGGTGTTGTAGCGAGTTAGGTGAAGTGACGTTTTGGAAAATTTTTTCGATCCGTGACATTCATGTAATATTTTGTGAATAGTATGACATTTTTGTCGTTGTCTCCATAATTGTGTATTGATAATATTTATTAAAATTTCCTTTCATTAGAATTATACCATATTAGATTTGAGAGTAATATAATTCATTAACAAAGGAGATTTAGAGCCCGTTTGTTTCCCATTCTAAAAAAAGTAACTTTTATCTCTTTCTTATTTTAGAAGTCTTTTTTACAAAAGTTAAAGCTAGTTATATTTTTTAAAAAATATTTAGTTTTTGAAAAAAATATTTGACTTTTGACTTCTGCTTTTTTAGAAGTTAAAATTTTTAGTTTCTGAAAAAAGTAAGTTTTTGGTTTTTTTTGTGACTTGTGCTTTTTTCAAAAGTAGGTATCTGTACTGTAAGTGTACATAAGATGTGCTCCATGGAGGGTGAAGTATGTTGATATAGGGGGTGTCCATAGTGACAATAGTAGAGACTAAGGTACTAAGGAAGCTTCCCATGGTGCATAAGGGGGTGTGTGTGTGCTCTACCACTATCAGTACAATATCCAAATGAAATAAAACTGAGATGTGCTTTTATTAAAAAAAAAAATAATTCTTAAAGAAAAAAAAGTCCATTCAAACGAGCCGTTAATGATTTCACAAAACAAAGGAGATTTAATGATAAATAACACAATTAATACGATAGGTATCTATGAAGCACCGACACTTCAAAAATTCTGATGTGTCGTGTCCGACACTTCCCGACACTCCAACACGCTTTATAAAAATTCAAAAAAGGTTCAAAAGTTGTGTTGCGTTGAGTTTTTAGTTCCAACTATTAGATTCATTGGATTGCGATTACCATTTTATTGAGTTTAATATAAGTATTTGGGATATCTTATGTTTTTTTACAAAATTTATGAATATTATAAGTTTAGATTCATTTTTTTGTTAAATTATTGATTATTCAATATAATATACACTACATAAATTAAAAATATTATTTAATATCAAAACGTGTCCTAACCTGTCGAAATCTAACAGTTTTTAGAATTAACGTGTCGTATCGTGTCACGTGTCCCGTGTCGGTATCGGTGCTACATAGGTAGGTATTGATTGCCAGAATGAGAATATTATTATTTATCTATTTGAAAAAAAAATTAAATTCATTCAAAGTTATATATCAATTGAAAAGTCACGTGATATGAAAGTTGACGAAGTACAGTTAAAATGAATATAATATTTTAAAGGATTAAAGACTTATTCTATTATATAAGAAGAATTTATTCTCTACACATATAATAAATATGTGAGTTATATTAATTTTTTTTTCTCATTCCATTTTTTAACAAAAATTACATATTTGTTATATGTGTCGGAGAAAATATTCTACTAATATAACATGAAAAGTCTTTAATTTAATTTTAAAACAATAAATATAATTATATATTATTTTTCAAGTGACACTGAAAGGACGAGTCTACTGCAAGCATGTGGCTAGAAAATTTGATGGTCCCCCCATTCATGAATGATGCGAGAGCAGCCGCCAAATAATACTAAAGAACTCATGGACAAATATTTTATGTTCATACTTCCACATAGGAATATACATTACAGACAACTCAGACTCTGATGGGCTTTTTTCATAAAATAATTAATTGCGTAAATCAAATTAACTCTCCTTCAATGCCGGTTGATTTTGGATCAATCCCTCTCTTAAACCACAGGCTTTTTGTCTTTTTCATACCCAATCGGCTAAGCCAATCCCTTCACTGCACACACCGAGGTACCTTTTCTTTGATTGATTATCACACACACTTATTAATTTTTAAGGCATATACGCCGAAGATCAATTTCATGACTCTAGCAGGAGGATATACCTTAAGCTGTTCCTTTCTTCCCTTTCATTTCATTGCATGAATAATTCTTCGTTCAAAGGTGATTTGAGGTTCAACAACGGTGTTTACTTTATTAGTATTAATTATTTCATGGCTCCGTCATCAAAGGCCAATTTCCTTTGGGTTCGGTGTGACAATATTGTTTTTCTTGGACTTTGGTTTTGACCTTAAGAACTAGGAACCTTACATGTTGTTTCCTCCAACAAGTTTCCCTCACTAAATTCTTGGTTAGAAAATTGTTTGTTTGTTTTTTTTTTTTTTTTTTTTATTGTTTTCTCCTTCTCTCAGTTTCTCTCTATATGATAGCAAGTTTTTTCTTGCGGACCAAGCTGCGATATAATTTATTCATCAAAACTGGCTAAGATTGCAGTATTTATTTAAATACTATCATGTGGCATGGGTAGGTAGGTGGAAGTGGGAGTGGAATTGGAATACTATCTAACTTTTATGAAGCATGAAGTATGAACTATAAACAAAAAAAATTCTTTAGATGAAATTTTTATACTTGTGACTTAAAAGATTCCATGGCAGAAATTGGTGATTTTTTTAAGGTGGGAATAGTGAGCTCGTGCAGCTCGCTTCCATTCAAATAGAGATATATCTTTTTTGTAACTGTTGCTCAGGACTACTTTTTTGTGTTTGTTTTCAACTTCAAAGATTCGCTTTTTTGTGTTGAGTCGGTTTAAGATTGTGAAACTTGTAAAAAGGTAACCATTTTTTGAGCATGTCAGTAATGTTGAACATGTTTTAAGCAGCCTTTTAGGCTTTGTCATGATTTAAACCGCTTTTTCGTTATTCTTCTTGTTTCCTTGTGAGGACGAGTTTTTGGTTTATTTTCAGTAGCATAATAGTCACTTTTTTAGTTTTTACATGTCGATTATTGCTCAAACGACCCATGTTTTACAATCCAACCGTGATTCTTTCAGGGGATGCAGACAAAGAAGATCGATGAGATGAGACTGAGTTATAACATAAGATATTAGGTTGTAGTTCAAGTGAAGTTTCCTCTGGGGGAGTGCACAAACATGTCTTCTGCAGCTGCAACTTGGGTCACGTCTCTCCAATGTTCACCCTCAGAGGAAACATTTCTCTCAACTTCAAATCTACCTCAGTGGCTGAGATTCATTTTCCTCTCACCATGTCCTCAGAGAGCTCTATTTTCTGCTGTTGACGCACTACTCCTTCTTACCCTCTTTGTGTTTGCTATCACAAAGCTCTATTCAAGGTTCACTTCCAATGTCAACACCAACTCCGAGCTCAACAAGCCCCTTATCAGAAATACCAGAGGTTCTGACAGAACAACTATATGGTTTAAGCTAACTCTAACTGCAACGGTTGTTTTGACTATATTGTACCTGGTCGCTTGCATTCTGGTCTTCAGCAGTTCCACCCAGTTGCCATGGAAGCAAGTTGATGGACTATTTTGGTTGGTTCAGACCATAACACAACTAGTCCTTGCAATCTTAATCATTCATGAGAAAAAATTTGAAGCTGTTGCTCACCCAATATCGCTTCGAATATACTGGATTGCGAATTTCATCATCGTTTCTTTGTTCACAGCATCTGGGGTTATACGTTTGGTCTCTGTGGAAGTGGAAGAAGGCAAGCACTTCAGCTTTATGGTGGATGACATAGTCTCTTTCATTTCTCTCCCTCTGTCGCTTTTTCTGCTTTGTGTTGCGATTAAAGGATCCACTGGGATTAAGTCAAGGGAAGAAACGCGACCGCTTATTGATGAGGAAACCAAACTATATGATCCTAATCTGGACAAATCCAACGTTACTGGATTTGCATCAGCTTCTTTACTATCCAAGGCCTTTTGGATTTGGATAAACCCCTTGTTGAGTAAAGGGTACCAGTCACCATTGAAGATTGAGGAAATTCCATCCCTTTCACCACAGCATAGAGCTGAGAGGATGTCAGTTATATTTGAATCAAAATGGCCTAAATCAGATGAGAGGTCGAAGCACCCCGTTCGAACCACGTTGCTTCGGTGCTTCTGGAAGGACATAGCCTTCACTGCTTTCCTTGCTGTTATTCGGCTGAGTGTCATGTTTGTAGGGCCAGTTCTCATTCAAAGTTTTGTTGATTTCACTGCAGGGAAGGGTAGCTCTGTGTATGAAGGATACTACCTCGTGTTGATTCTCCTTTGTTCCAAATTTGTAGAAGTTTTGACCACTCACCATTTCAACTTCAATTCTCAGAAGCTTGGGATGCTTATAAGATGCACTCTCATCACTTCTTTGTACAAGAAGGGGTTGAGGCTATCATGCTCTGCAAGGCAGGATCATGGTGTTGGGCCTATTGTGAATTACATGGCTGTTGATACCCAGCAACTCTCTGACATGATGCTTCAACTTCATGCCGTGTGGATGATGCCATTTCAAGTTGGCATTGGTTTAATTTTGCTTTACAATTGCCTAGGTGCCTCAGTGGTTACGGCCTTGATTGGACTTCTTGGTGTTCTTGCGTTTATTGTTGTGACTACTCGAAAGAACAAGGGTTACCAATTTAATGCAATGATGAATCGTGATTCTAGGATGAAAGCTGTGAATGAGATGCTTAATTACATGCGTGTTATCAAGTTCCAGGCTTGGGAGGAGCATTTCAACGAGAGAATTTTGGATTTCCGTAAGTCAGAGTTTGGGTGGCTATCCAAGTTTATGTACTCAATTTGTGGCAATATTATTGTGTTGTGGAGCACACCGTTATTGATATCAACATTCACATTTGGTACGGCGATTTTGCTTGGAGTTCCACTTGATGCAGGGACGGTGTTCACCACCACAACTGTGTTCAAGATCCTACAGGAACCTATTAGGACATTTCCACAGTCTATGATATCTCTTTCACAAGCAATGGTATCACTTGGGAGGTTAGATAGGTACATGTCTAGCAGGGAATTGTCAATTGATTCAGTTGAGAGAGCTGAAGGTTGTGGTGGACCAACTGTTGTGGAGGTTAAAGATGGAACCTTTAGCTGGGATGATGATGGCCAAGAGCAGGACTTGAAAAATATCAATTTGGAGATTAACAAGGGGGAGCTCACAGCTATTGTTGGGACTGTAGGGTCTGGAAAGTCTTCTCTCCTTGCATCAATTCTTGGTGAGATGCACAAAATTTCTGGAAAGGTAGATATATATTATATATATTTTTTTCAGAAATAAGAACTACACAGGCCTTTAATATATAGTGTGGTATTCATACCTGATTATTTATTTTGGTGACAGGTTCAAGTTTGTGGGAGTACTGCTTATGTTGCACAGACATCTTGGATTCAAAATGGGACCATTGAAGAAAACATTCTCTTTGGTCGACCAATGGACAGACGGCAGTACAATGAAGTTGTCAGGGTTTGTTGCTTGGAGAAAGACTTGGAAATGATGGAGTTTGGGGATCAGACAGAGATTGGAGAGCGTGGCATCAACCTAAGTGGGGGCCAGAAGCAGCGTATCCAACTTGCCAGGGCTGTGTATCAAGACTGTGATATATATCTTCTTGACGATGTCTTCAGTGCTGTTGATGCACACACTGGCACTGAAATTTTTAAGGTGGTTATTCTATAACCATCTGTTATTGTTTCCTACTCTCAGCATTCTGTATTTTTTACTCTAAAGAACCAAGTGGGGGGCAATGAGGATCGAACTCGTGACCTTGTGGTCACTGAAACTCTGATACCATATAAAGAACCACCTCAACCCTAAAACTTAAGGTTTTAAGTGAAGGCCCATCAGTGGTTTATATACTTCTCTAACAAATGCTTGAAGTCAATTTTGTGAATTGTGATTTGAAGAAATGATGTAGAATTCAGTTTGTTTAGTTAATAGTTTAAGTGGGTTGAGATCAACTCCTAATCTAGTGTTTTTGGGATGAGATAATGCATTTGACGCCATGTGCAAACAGAAGATATTCTATAATGGCCGTATAAAAATCTAGCTTTTTATTTACGTTACTATTCTTTGTTAGTTTAGCCAAATTTTGAACTTTAATCCTTTTATGCAGGAATGTGTGAGGGGAGTTCTAAAAGGCAAGACCATTATTCTTGTAACACATCAAGTAGACTTCCTACACAATGTGGATCTTATAATGGTAAGTCTCTTTTTTGCAATAATGTAATGTTTCGTCTCATTCAATCTTCTATTTAACTTGGTGATTGATACAACTACATACATTTGCTTGCTAAAAGGTGATGAGGGATGGAACGATAGTCCAATCAGGGAAGTACAATGATCTACTCGATTCTGGATTGGATTTTAGTGTTCTCGTAGCAGCACATGAGACCTCTATGGAACTAGTAGAACAAGGTGCCGTTATGCCTGGTGAAAATTTGAACAAACCAATTAAATCTCCGAAGGCAGTAGCAAATGGTGAAAGCAATTCTCTTGAACAACCCAAGACTGGCAAGGAAAGTTCTAAACTCATCAAAGAAGAGGAGAGAGAGACTGGGAAAGTTAACTTACGTATCTATAAACTCTACTGCACTGAGGCTTTTGGGTGGTGGGGCATTACAGGAATACTCTTTGTTTCTTTGTTGTGGCAAGCATCTATGATGGCAAGTGATTATTGGCTTGCATATGAAACCTCAGAAGACCGTGCTCAATCGTTTAATCCTTCTCTGTTTATTTCCGTCTATGCAATTATTTCTGTAGTTTCAGTTGTCTTGATAGTGCTAAGATCCTACTCTGTTACAATCTTGGGGTTAAAGACAGCACAGATTTTCTTCTCTCAAATTCTTCATAGCATCTTGCATGCCCCCATGTCTTTCTTTGACACTACTCCATCGGGGAGAATTCTAAGCAGGGTAAGAATAACCTAGTTTATATTGAATAACCTAGTTTTATATTGATATAATCTTTACATTACTGTCATATTTCAAGTACATATGTATAATGATTTTTATTTTTCTTAAAACTTCCACAGGCATCCACTGATCAGACCAATGTTGATATCTTTATCCCCTTGTTCTTTAACTTTGTGGTGGCCATGTACATTACAGTGATCAGCATCTTCATAATCACATGTCAAAATTCTTGGCCTACAACTTTCTTGCTAATACCTCTTGTTTGGTTGAACTTATGGTACCGGGTATGGATATGGTTGTTCTATTAATCAAATTGTATTGCTGGCATAATTCTGATATATCTATGTCTAAGATTCAAAGCAATGACACAGACATAATGCTTTGTCTTTCTTAGATTGACAATGCAGTGTCTTAAACCTTAAAATGTTGCAGCTGGAAACATGAATAAATGGGCTTACTCTATAACTCTCAATATTTAAAGAGTTTTCACTTCAACTATGGAAGTTATTGTTCACAATTAAATATATCTTGTGCACTTATGTTAACAATTACTGTATTTATTTTTGCTTTTTGATTTTGCAGGGTTATTTTCTTTCTTCATCTCGTGAGTTAACTCGCCTGGACTCAATTACAAAGGCACCTGTCATTCATCATTTCTCTGAAAGCATTTCCGGGGTCATGACAATCCGTGCATTCAAAAAGCAGAAGGAATTTTGTGAAGAAAATATTAAACGGGTGAATGCTAATTTGCGAATGGATTTCCACAACTTCAGTTCTAATGCGTGGTTGGGTTTCCGCTTAGAATTGCTTGGAGCCTTAGTCTTTTGCATTTCTGCTATGTTCATGATCATGTTACCCAGCAGTATCATAAAGCCAGGTAAACTCACTAACTGCTATAGTTTAAAAGGATTTGTAAAATGGTTGTCTTGTCATGATCGTTGGGAATATATCTAATTTCATCTTTCTAAGTGGTCCTCGGCAGAAGAGAATGTGGTTCTTGGTTGTATCACTGTGGTTATGAACCCTTGGAATAACCACCTGTTCCATACAATTTTTTTTGCAAAACTCTTATTTCATATGTTAGCTAGTCCTTTTATATCAGGCCAAGTCATGTAACACTAAACTGTTTTTGGATGTTTTGGGCATAGTAGAAATGTGGAATTGAATTGAGTGGGATTAGATGGAATGGAATGGTATTGTTTTTCCTTTACATGGAAGTTGGGTATAGGATTAATGATGAAAGTAAGGAAGTAGCAAAAGTTACAGATTTTAAATAACGATATTGTCCACATAAGACAAAACATACAAAACAAAAATATAAGACAACACAGTAAAATTACATACCTTTTTAAAGAAAAATGTGGTTCCACCTGTTTTCCAATTAAAAAAAATGGGGCCCTACCCATGTGCCATACCTAAGAGTACGCTTTTGCAATAGGTAAAAAGAATATAGAAAATAAGAAAACGACTTCAAGATGTTGCTCCTTTAAATTACTCAATTGTTATATGTATTGTCTGTTTGTCGTTACATGTCGAAAATACAAATAGCTTGGCATGTAAAGTATATATTATATCTTGGATAATGATATCTAACATGCTTGAAGAGCAATGATATTAATATTGCAGTCAAAATTTTATTGAGATAATCAACTGATTGGGTTGTTCTGTTTGATATAGAAAATGTTGGCTTATCTCTCTCTTATGGATTGTCATTAAATGCCGTGATGTTCTGGGCTATATACATGAGCTGTTTCATTGAAAACAAAATGGTATCTGTTGAGAGGATAAAGCAGTTCACAAATATTCCATCAGAAGCAGCATGGAAACTTAAGGATCGTATGCCTCCTTCAAATTGGCCTGGTCAAGGCAATGTTGACATCAAAGACTTGCAGGTATCTAGATTAGAATATACCCAAATTGATTATTTCTTGTGATGAAATAAATTATACATGCTCATTGCATTCTACTAAAGGCTAGAGTACCAAAAGAGAGGCCATTTGTATAAAGCCAAATAGATATTTGTAAAACAAGTTACTATCCTTGACAATAGTCCCAGTGATGCATTTTTCATTATTAATCTGTTTTGATGGACACACTATTTCCTTGTGGTTATAACTTAAAACTTCTGGCAAACAGGTCAGATATCGTCCAAACACTCCATTGGTTCTTAAAGGCATTACTTTAAGCATTAGTGGGGGAGAAAAGGTTGGAGTTGTTGGTCGAACTGGTAGTGGAAAATCAACTTTAATTCAAGTGTTCTTCAGGCTGGTGGAACCTACAGGAGGGAAAATAATCATTGATGGCATTGACATATCCGCCTTAGGGCTTCATGATCTTAGATCTCGGTTTGGTATCATCCCTCAGGAGCCTGTACTTTTTGAAGGAACTGTCAGAAGTAACATTGATCCAACTGGACAGTATACAGATGAAGAGATATGGAAGGTAAATATTCCAACAGCAAATTCTCTCTCATGTTTTCTACTGAAACCCTCAAGTCCATTTACTTAAATGGTAGACTTCACTGATTTAATGGATGAATTTTTTTTTGCTATCATTGGCCTAGAGTAATAGCTTTTTATTGCTGTAGAGTTTGGAACGTTGTCAACTAAAAGATGCAGTGGCTACTAAGCCTGAGAAACTTGACTCTTCAGGTTTCAAAGATTATTTCCAATTTCTTTGAGCTGCTTGAATTTCACACTTCCATCCTTTTTTTCTTTTCTTCTTCTCACTAATAGCAATATTATTTTAACTTTTGTAGTGGTTGATAATGGAGATAACTGGAGTGTGGGGCAGAGGCAGTTGCTTTGTTTAGGGAGGGTTATGCTTAAGCAAAGCAGGCTTTTGTTTATGGATGAGGCAACAGCTTCTGTTGATTCTCAAACTGATGCTGTAATTCAGAAGATCATCCGAGAGGACTTTGCAGCCCGTACCATCATCAGCATTGCTCATAGAATACCAACAGTCATGGACTGTGATAGAGTTCTAGTTGTAGATGCAGGTATAATATTCTCTTAATCTCTCTTTGTTTTTTCTCTCATTATAGGATCTCATGCATTATTCTGTTTTTGACCACACTTAGTAGGCTAAGTTCTGTTCCTTTTTTTTCCCTTAATAGGGCGAGCTAGAGAATTTGACAAGCCATCCAACTTGCTCCAGAGGCCATCGCTCTTTGGGGCATTAGTTCAAGAATATGCCAACCGCTCCACTGGACTTTAAGAAAACTTCAGCTTCCTAAAGGCCAAGCATTTTGATTGATGTTAGAAGTACACCCTTTGAAGGAAAATGACAATTTCCTTGTAGACGCAGAAAACTAGTGTTGAGAAGTGCAGTCACTTTTGTAATGCATTAAAAGATGAGCAGTTTCATTGCCGGTCAATTTTGACAAGTGAAGCATGAGCAACGCTTGTAAATTGTATTCTGATTATGCTTGGTTAAAGTAGCACTAGCATTCAAAACTCTAGCCATAGTAGGTCCTGATATTTACACTGCAACACCAAGTGTAATGACTAAGAAGTTTCACGATTACCTTTTTGCATTATATTGAATTATATACCACTAATAATCTACTTTGGACTTATAATTGAGCATTTGCTTATTACATTATATAGTATCAAGTTTTGTAGTGTGATTTTTTCCTTTTGGGTTAGAAATAACCTACTCGTTGAATGCATAAAATATTTGATTAATTTCGAATTTACTCCATTTTAAGATATCAACAACATTTACCTGTCAGCAATTTATATGAATTCATGTCAAGATCATTAATTGGCCGTATGTGTAACACCCTAACTGTACTAAGAACTAAGCTGACTGAATATGAAATAAATTTGATAATCCGATTTTCTTCCTCTCAAATGGATATTTATCATTGCTTTGGGTTTCCATACGTGCTTGTTTTTGTTGAGAGGAATGTTCCAAATTAAACATTATTAAACAATTCGTGACATTAATGGAATGTTTAGATTACGATAGGATCTGTTAGGCTGTTAAGTTGGTGGATAATCATTATTAAACAAATGAAAGCATCAACAAGAGGTAACATTCTAATCTTCGGCAAAGCTTGAAGATTATAGTATTTTCGTTATTTCCTTGGTGTTTGGTTGACGAGAAATTTTTTGAACACTAGGAAAATGTAATTGATAAGGAAATAATTGGAAAGTGAGTTTGGTAGGAAAATGTAAAAAAAGTTGTTTGGTTGAGTAAAGTATTACTGAAAAAATTGGATTAAATTTTTTGAGTGTATGTTTGGTTGAAGGTAAAATATTGATGAGATAATTGATTAAATATACTAAAATACCCTCTCTTTTTCAAATTGATGAGGGTATTTTAGTCTGCATCATTGGTCCTCTACTTTGCCCATTTAGCTGGGCAACTAAAATACCATCTATAAATTGTCTTTTTGAATAGTAATTTTTGCATGCAATTCTCAAATGCTATGCATCTGTGGTGCCTAGGGAAAAGTTCAAAATCGGTCTACCAAACGTGGCTTGCCCAGTTTGCCAACCTTAGATGCATAGGAAAGACTTGAAATAACCTGAAACAAACACCACCTTACAAACTTTTCAAAAAATAGTTGATTTCCGATTTCATTCCTTTGTTTTGATCAGAGTCAGTAAAGAACACTATCATTAACAACCTTTTTTAACAGTGCTTACATATTATTGTGAATAATAGAATTATTTTATTATTATTTTGTTATAGTTAGAATACTCTATAGTTAGAATACTCTATAAGTGTATTTGGGCTTAGTCCATTAGATTTTTTAGTTTCTTCAAATACTATACAATTCAATTATATATAAATCTTCTTTTATAGTTGGTATCAAAGCTCTCGATTCTGAGGGCTCTGCTTCCGCAAATCACTACCTCTAAAAACCAAACCCTTTTGCCTCTCGCCATCGCCAGAATTTTTTTTCCGAGGACCTTTTGGACCGTGAGGACCTCTGTTTCACTCTGTTTTCTCAGATCTATCATTTTACGGAGGTTTCTTTTTCATCAGACGACCGAAACAGCTCAAAAAAAAGTATTGTTCATCGCGCACTGTTCACTGGGTACTGTTAATGCAACATTGGTCATCGTGCACTATTCACGGGTACTGTTCGTCGAAAAAAAGAAAAAAAAAGAAATTTATTTTATTTTTCTGATCAACTATGTTTGGTAAGATCACACACCCTACATCTCTTCTTACATTTTGCACTGATTTCAAAAATTCATGGATTATGGATTCTGGTGCAACTGATCATATGACTTGTCTAGCTGATTCTTTTCTTTCATATCACCCTACTAGTGGTATCTGTACTGTAGCTGTAGCTGATGGATCCCACAAATCAGTTGTGGGTTCTGGTAACATTCAAATTCAACCTTCCTTATTTTGAAAGAATGTTCTTTATGTTCCTCAGCTCTCTACCATCTTATCTCCACTTATAAGCTTACAACTGACATGAATTGTGCTGTCACCCATCATTTGGATTATTGAAGTCAATTATAATGACCCTAACTGATAAATCTTAATTGAATGTTTAATTTAAGGATTTAAATGCCATAATTGGACTCAGAGCGTGATTCTGAGTATTTTGACTGTAATCATGACTAGGTCATGAACAATGCGTTTTGCCGGATGATCTGCATTCTTGTGAATTAACCGGTAAAGCTTAAATGATCAAAATGATTTTAGAGACATAATTTGACAATTCTGACGCCAAATATGAGTTTAGAACAAAAAAATTGGATAGTCTGGCACTTTCCGTGAAAATCTCGTGAATAGTGTTTTCTACCGGGTATTTTGTACTGCTGTTTAAGCAACCGGTAGAGTCCAGAAACAAATAATTAATGAAATAAGAATAAGAAAGTCCAATATATGCCAAGCAAGTCAAAAGAGACCCAAGGATGATAAATTAATGAGTTTTAAGTTTCGTATGCAAACGGTGCACAATTAGTGAACCACATTGTATTTTGTCAAAAACGGTGCAGAGACCGTATTGTAAATTATGAATATTGTTCATTAGGAAATAACAATTAATGTAAATGAGTTCAGAAAAATAAAAATATGTCAGTAGCTTTAAGTTAGTTTCGGGTCAGTTTAAGTGAAAATACGCGGTAGAAAAACAACCGGTAAAAAGGGCCACCTATGCATATAAGTCCAAATCACTTAAGATGACACTATTCACATTAGCTCCCTCTCCTTCTCTCTCCTCAAGGCCGAGCCTCTCCTCCATGGAAGGCTAGGTTTCCAAGCTTTGTTCCTCCTTTGATTGCTCCCTCCACACTCAACCAAATCCTTATGTCCATTACACGAAATTCATAAGAAATCACTCAAGGAATCCATTCCACCACTTTGATTGGGCTGATTTGGCTTGTGGAGAGAGTTATTCCTCACCCCTAATTCGTGGCACTATTCATCCAAGTGCAAAGGAGTGAATTTTGAGTGAGCAAAGCTTAGGTTTTGCTCATTGGACCTTGGATAAGCAACTATAGATAAGAAACCTCTATTTCCATGGTTTTATTTTTGTGATTTAAGTCTTGGAAGTTTGGAGCATGTTTTGGATGGGAAATAATTGAGTTTGGAATTTGAAATTGATGATGGATTGTTGTTGTTTAGGAAGTTATAGTGTAAATTAAGCATCAACATGTGATTAAAGATTGAAAAGCCCCATTGCACCTCCCTCCCTAGGTTTCGACCTTGATGGGTAAATAAGGTTTATTGTGCAAAAAAATTTAATTACATGGATTGTGAAGGTGGTATGGTAGGGTAAATGGAGATTTAAATGTAAAAATTGGAAATACCAAAGTGAGAAAATGCTATGGTGTGTACCCCTATGTTTGGGCTATGATGTGCTAGTGAGGGGCTTGATATTCCAAAATTTAATTGGAACCTTGTGGATATATATATGTATGTGTAAGTTGTTAATTAAGTGAAGAAAATGAAATGTAAAAGAAAAGAATCCTTTGCCTTTACCCTTATAGATTTCGGCCTATAGGGTGATTTAAGGATAGATTTAGTTACATTTTATTTTAATAAAATGTGGAGTTTTCAATGCATGTAATTGATGAGTCGAAGGAGTAAAATGACTTGAAAATTGTTGAAAGAAATATTGGTTCCCGTTTATGTGTACCCACGGCCTTATGAAGAAAAATGGCATGAATTATGTTTAAAATTCTCAAGTGGATACTTAGTTAATTTAGGGAACGTTAACGATTATAAAATGGTAAATTAAAGGAAATTATAAAGGTGTGATCTTGACTTGTGAATTGGCATAGGATTGGCATAATGTGAGGAAACGAAAGGGAACAATAAGATGTATGCCTTGTGTAAATTTCATGGCAATTGTAATATTTTATTGATTTTTGTTTTGAATCCTTCTCTAGGTGTACCTAGGGACTGAGAGGGTTTGAATTTCTATTGGAGCTATATAAGTAACTTGCGCGACAAGTAAGCGAATTAGAAAAGCTTCAAGAGGTAAGCTCTATGTTTAAGGAGTCTTTTCCTGCTTGAGTGCTCCACCATAGTTAGTGAATTGTGGTTGGATTGTATGATTGTTTTGATGCTTTGTATAGATGCATTCATATAGAGCTATTTGATAACATGATATGACTTGTTTCTGATATGATTTCTGTATTGATTGTATGGTACACTGATGCCTTTTTGGGGTTCCCCTGAGATTGACGGTGTACGCCTCTGATATGTTTTGGTTCCGCTCGGGGTCCTCCCTTGGGAACACGTGCGTTGATTTCTGCTTGGGGTCCTCCCTTGGGAATGACTGCGTACGACTCTGATAAGATATGTATAAGTGCTTTGTTCTGTTACGATATTTGTTATATGTTGCATTGGTATACTCTGTATCTGACTTTCATGCAAGAGTGAGCTAGAGGTATGGAGAATTCTCTATAAACCTGGAGTTTATTGAGATTTGTTATCTCACCCCTCTTTGGGGACATCATTTCAGGTTCTCAGATTCCCGGTGAGCCCTCACTAGGCAGGGACGTGACCCGTGGTTGAGGCGTTTGGACGGATCAGATTTTGAGTAGCTGTAGGCTACTACTATTTTGGAGTGTATTTATGTTATTTAGTATTTTAGCATTTTGGTGGATCATGATGTCTGATCCTTTACTTTGTATATAACTTGTATATGTTTTGTACATGTCTTTCAGTTAGATGCATGTACATTTGTGTATTCAAGCATGTTAATATGTATTCAGTTATGATTACGTGTTGGATTGCATGTTGTTAGATATAGGGGCACAGATCCCAGTTATGCATGAGCCCATGGATGAGTATATGATGTTATATGGATGTCTGGTACTGCTGAAAGTATATACTGTATAAACTGTCTATCAGGATCTCTTGAGAGTGAGATTGGAAAATCTCCAGTTGTTCGATTTACAGAGGTTACTCTGCCCGATTTTCGTGAATAAGAATTAAACTAGAAAAAAAAAAAGTTAGCTCGTATTTTCGTAAGTTAAGTCTTTCGCTGTTTCTGTTTGTATCATATGCATGTTAATTGAACCGGCTCGAGATAGGGATGTTACATCAATGTTTCCTTCTTTGTTTAAGGATCAGGCAATTGACTCCTTTCATTGTGATGTTTGTGAGCTTGCGAAACACCACCGTGTGCCCTTTCCTTCAAGTTCAATAAAGAGCCTTGAACTTTTTACTCTTATCCAAGGTAGTTAAAAATGAGTTTTTAACTAAAAACGGAAGGAGAATGAAAAATCGTAAAACGTAACATCGTAATAAAAAGCGTAGATTTTACCTATAAAAAACATAGATGTTATTATACAAGACTTTCCCGCAAATTCACTCCATCAATTAAATATATAAACTTGCATATTAAGAAAAAGTGGCATATTAAAAAGAAAAAGAAAAAGTGGCATAGCACATACAAAAACACCTAGAAAGCAAACCACAAGACCCCACAACCAATATTGAGAAGAAAAATACCATTAAAGAAATAGTCACAAGTCACAACAAACAAAAAAACCAAGAAACTTGCGGTGTGTGTGCAAAAATCCAAACTTGGAGGAAAACCCAACCAAATCGCGGCGAAGATCAAGGTAAACCAGCAGCGGGAATACAACTGGATCGATGGCTTGCTGCACGGTGGGTCGATTTGAGTTTCTCAAAGCAGTAGGCACCGACCAAACATACACGAAGCGATTCCGATTTCGTTTCCAAGTGCCACAAGGCATCAGAATCAGATGCGGCATGTGAAGGAGCGTTTCCTTCTTCATCACCTTCACAGCCATCTTCTTCTTCTTTGAGAGGGTTGGTGTTTGATTTGGGTCCTTCAAACTCGTGGGTAGATTTCATTTTTTGTAAAAACGATGCGGTTTTACGTTATTACGTTTAATAGAAACGATTTTAATTATTTTACAAGCTTTATGTTTTTTGCTCAAACGAAAAACGTTTTGCTAAAAATAAAACGTAAAAACGGCGATTTTACGTTTTAAAGCGCATTTTTGACTACCATGCTCTTATCCATTCAGATGTTTGGGGCCCTTGTAAAGTACATAATATTTCAGGTGCTAGGTGGTTTGTTTCTTTTATTGATGATTGCACTCGGGTGACATGGATATTCTTGATGAAAGACAAGTCAAAAGTACCAGAATTGTTTATTCGATTTTATCAAATGATCGAGACACAGTTTGGTAAAAGTATTAAGAGATTAAGATCTGACAATGGTACGGAGTATGTCAACCAGCGTCTGTCACAATTCGTTCCAGATAAGGGTATGATTCATGAGCTCACGTGCATGGATACCCCTCAACAGAATGAGGTTGCTGAAAGAAAAAATCGACATTTGCTTGAAGTCACCAGAGCATTATTGTTTCAAACATCTGTACCCAACTCTTACTGGGGAGAAGCCTTATTAACTGCAGCCTATTTGATCAACCGCTTGCCTTCCAGAGTCCTTGGCCATGTAAGTCATGTTGATCTCATGACCTCTTTTTTTCATTCTGTTCCAATTATGCAAAGTCTTCAGTCTCGTATCTTTGGATATGTTGCCTTCGTCCATATCCATAAACATCGGAGTAAATTAGAGCCTAGAGCCCTTAAGTGCGTCTTCCTTGGATATGTTCCAAACAAGAAAGGATACAAATGTTACCACCCTCCAAGTCGTAAATTCTTTGTTTCTATGGATGTTAGCTTCCATGAATCTGAGTCTTACTTTCTACACCCTCAGCTTCAGGGGGAGAATAGTGTAGAAGCTTCATCCATTTTCTTCGAGTCTGAGTCTCCCTTTCTGTTACCTACATCTTCTACTCCAGTAGTTACACTACATGACAATGAGAAGGAAGACTTAATTGCTGAGGTTGAAAATTCATCTGATTCCTCATGTGACATGCCTCCTATTGATAGATAGAAAGTACGCAAAACTGGTACACCCGAACTATTGTACCAAAGGAAGAAACAACCCACACTGCCCCATCAGCAACTGCAGTCGCCTGAACTGCTGGTAAGTACTGAACTCACTACTTCTTTTATTCGTGAGCCTGGTATTAATTCTGATGACTTACCCATTGCTGTAAGAAAAGGGAAAAGGTCTTGTACCTAACACCCTATTTCTCATTTTGTCTCCTCTAAGAATCTTTCTCTGCAGCATAGAAGGTTTATTACAGCACTTGACTCCATTTCAATCCCGAAATCAGTACATGAAGCATTAAAGGATGATAATTGGGTTCAAGCCATGCATGAGGAGATGAATGCATTGAAGAATAATACATGGGAAGTTGTTGGCAGGCCAAATGGAAAAAGGACAGTAGGGTCCAGATGGGTGTATACTCCGAAGTATAATTCTGATGGGACTCTTGAGAGGTATAAAGCTCGATTGGTAGCAAAGGGATACACACAGACCTATGGCATTGATTACGAAGAAACATTTGCTCCAGTGGCCAAAATGAACACTGTAAGAGTTCTATTGTCCCTCGCTGCTCATTTTAGCTGGGATTTGAACCAATTTGATGTGAAAAATGTCTTCCTCAATGGTGAATTAGAAGAGGAGGTTTACATGGAGATTCCACCAAGATTTAACTCTACAAATGGAGATAATAAAGTTTGCAGGTTAAAAAAGGCATTGTATGGTTTGAAGCAATCCCCGCGTGCTTGGTTTGGAAGATTTACCAAAGTCACGCTTTCATTGGGATACAAGCAAAGCCAAGGGGATCATACACTTTTCTTTAAACATTCTCAAGAAGGTAAGACCACTATCCTTCTAGTTTATGTTAATGACATTATTATAACAGAGGATGATATAGGTGAGAAATGTGCTCTGAAAAAAAGATTGACTGCTGAATTTGAAGTTAAAGATATTGGAAAACTGAGATATTTTCTTGGGATAGAAGTTGCTCATTCAAAGCAAGGGATATTTATTTGTCAAAGAAAGTATGTTCTTGACCTCCTTAAAGAAGCAGGAAAACTCGGGTGTACACCTTCCAGTACTCCGATTGAGCAGAATCACAGACTAGGAAGTGAAAATGAAAGCTCTCCAATTGACAAAGGACAATATCAACGAATAGTGGGCAAATTGATATATCTAGCTCATACTAGACCTGATCTAGCTTATGTAATTGGTGTTGTTAGTCAATTTATGCATGATCCGAGGGAGAAACACTTGCGAGCTGTGGACAGGATTCTCCAATATCTGAAAGGCACACCAGGTAGAGGATTACTGTTCTAGAGAGGAGGAAACTTATCCTTAAAAGTTTATACAGACGCCGATTATGCTAGATCCGTGACTGACCGACGATCTACTTCAGGCTATTATATGTTTCTCTGTGGAAATCTTTTAACATGGAGAAGTAAAAAGCAAAATGTGGTTACTAGATCAAGTGCAGAAATAGAATTTCGAGCTATGGCTCAAGGTATCTGTGAGTTATTATGGCTGAAAATCATTCTAGATGATCTCAAGGTGAGATATGAAAGATCTATAAAGTTACTTTGTGATAACAAGTCAGCTATTTCTATAGCCCACAATCCAGTTCAACACGATCGAACCAAACATATTGAGATAGATCGCCACTTCATTAAAGAGAAATTAGACAGTGGACTGATCACTACTCTATATATTCTTTCTGGTCGTCAATTGACTGATGTCTTAACCAAAGGTCTTCCTAATGATAGATTTCAAGAACTTACTACCAAGCTGGGAATGATAGATATCCATTCCTCAGATTGTGAGAGAATATTGTAAATAATAGAATTATTTTATTTATTTTATAATAGTTAGAATACTCTATAAGTATATTTGGGCTTAGCCCATAAGATTTTTTAGTCTCTTTAATTAGAGAACTCTTGTACAAATATTATACAATTCAATGATATACAAATCTTCTTTTCTAGTCATATTAACAGTCAAATAAATACACAACCATTGAGAAGTTGCTTGTCTAACTAGACGCCCATGGCCGCCCTACACTGCGCTTCCCAATACTCCTTCATTTGCTTAACCCTCTCTACCCTCTCCATCTGAAGCCTTTCCATCCAGTACTCATTGCAGCTGAAAAAATATTTAAATTATTAGGTTAAGAAACTTGCAAAGTATATACTAAATATTATCACTGCTTAGATCATCTAAATCAGAGTATTATACCACATGACATCTCATTTTATTTTTACTCTTTTTCTAATGGAATAAACGGTATCATACCTTTGAGCTAATAGAATATTCAATTCTTCCAAGTGCACAGCACCTTCATAAACTCCTCTCTGCAATCAACCATACAAAACGTATAAGTTGCCAACCATTTTAACAGGTTAAAATAAAAAAGAAAAAAGAAAAAAATTCATTTGTCAATTTTGTTATTCTTTATGGTAAAAGAGAAGAAGGGATCAATCATGGTTGTTCAGCATTAAGATGTCTAAAATAACTGAACAGTTCTTCCTATAAACTGCAGTTCACCAATCATCATAAGATTAAAATACAGAAGCTGAAGAATCATAGAAGGGCTACTTAGCTTATTCAGGAAGATCTAAAGTATTAATTGTAAAACTCAACTAATAGGCCTTAACGCAACTCTAGCAAATTTCACAAGCAATATAGTCGTTAAATAGAAGGACAAATGAAGCTTAGAACAATATCCTGGTTCCTGAACTCATGCACAGGTAAGGTTATTTTAATTTTAAGAGTTGATTTGGCATTGTAATTTTGTTTGGTCATTGCATCATAATTAAGTATATCTGCATTACAAACATGACAATGCTGCCTCATACAGTGTTTTGTTTGGTCATTATTAACATGAATCATATTTACCAATTAATAGAAGTAGAAGCTATGGATATAATCAGAACTGACATCCCCCTTTTGTAGGTTCCACTTGAAAATAATGAAGTTTTAGGAGAGCTTGCTATATCTGATAGCTTACCTCTCGGCATAGAGGACATTTCTCTCTAGGATCTGCTGCCTTAAGTCCATCGACAATAGTTACTGATGCAGCTGAGCAAGCACAGCTGTAGCAGAATATGTGGCCGCAAGTCAGAGCAATTGGATCGAACACCGTATCCTGTCATGGAAAAGCCAGATAAAAATTAGCAATAAAAATAAGTAAAGGACCATAAAAAAGAGATGCTTTTACATAGAAAACACATATTGATGTCGATGAAACTAAGGTGATACTATCATTGTATTCCAAAATAAAAAAAAGTCAAGTGCTTTAGGGCAATTCCCTAGGAAAAATATGAGGTATCCATTCTGAAAACCATTGACATATCTAAAATATTTTAAACCATGAACAAATAAAATAGTTTATAAGAATTCTTTTTTGTGGAAACATAAACTATGTTCAGTTTAAAAATCCAATCAGGGCCTTTAAGTCCATTTGATCCTTCTTGCATCTGAGCAGCAGTAATCTACAAATAGACAAGCTCAGTGTATGTGCAGTCCAAATGAAAACATTCAAAATGTGAGTAATGCACAGAAAATGAGGAATTCATCCAACAAGTTAAACCAAGTAACTTACCAAGCATACAGAGCAAGTCAAGTCAATATCAATTTTGATGGAACCAAAGAGCTCACAAGTAAGTGATGGTTTTTCATCCTTAAATGTGAGGTAACATACATCAAAAAAAGCAGGTGCCTTCTTTGACTTGACTTTAGTTGCATTTAAGTTGATGTGTAAGGCCACAAGCTCACAAAGCCAGGGACTCTGAAGAATTTCCTTGTGCATAGTCTGGACTTGTGACTTGAATAATTGCCCTTGCTTGGAATAATGAATCTACAGTCATAGTAGTAATAGGAATATATAAATAACACTACTTACAATTTTCACTTGGATTGTCAAAACTTAAATAAGTACCCTAAAGAGGAACTTAATATGAATCTCGAGAAGCAAAACAGAAAGACACACCTTATCATATTTCTTTAGTATTTTTCGAATTGCAGTGGCATTTATCAGTGCATATGTGACTAAATCTTTGTCTTCTTGAATTAGAGCAGTATGATTTCCTCGTAACTTTCCTTTCAACATGAGAAAGTACTTTTTGAAGCCAGAAGCAAGATGTAGTTCCAGCACTTTCTGCGCACGCTGATTAAAGCACCCCATTATATCTGACATTTCATCTAGAAGGGAAGGGAAAAAGGTCCCATCGCACACTGCGCAATTATATTCATTTAGCTCAGAGGTGGTTGGAAATGCATTAATATTAAAAAGTTTAAACGTACCCCTCTCAACCCCCAAAGAGAATGGTCTCATTACTATCATTAGACACTTCATAATGCAAAGATACTTTGGAATTCATTTATTGAAAAATACAACATGTCATGTAAGCCAAAGCAGACAACAGATGAAAGAGTCTTCTTCCTCTTCCTCCCACCCTCTTTCTATCTCAGGGTGACCCTTCTGAAGCAGAATAATATTGATTTTTGACTTGTTTGTGGTGTTGGCATTCAGTTATTATTCAGACCTTTGAGACAAGTGTTCCAGTTAATTCAATTCTACACATCCTATGATGTTCGATGGATAGAGTGGCCTTGGAAAACCTCTAATGAGACTCAACATAGAGTACTAGAATGCAGTACAAAAATCAAGAACAAAAGGCATGCACAGGCAAAACCAAATCAGTAATGCAATTTCGATTGTCTTATTCTGAATTCGTTACAGAGTAAATACCTTTCTGGTCCTCACCAAATTTCACTTTCACAATGTTAGCTTTTAGTCCTAGCAAATAAAAAAATCATTTGTGGTAAATACCAAATTCAAAATAGACCCTTATTTAAAATCGTGATCCCTCGTTAGTCCCTATCAGTAGTACTAAAATTGGTACACTTTAAATTTTTTAAAGACCACGAATAACTTTTTTATTCTTTAAGAAGTAGAGCTAACGTACTAAAATAATTTGGTGAGGATAGAAAACGGGTATTTACTCTTCCTTGCATATTAACGAAACCACCCCACCTAACAAAAAATAAAAGAGAGCTTTTCGTTCAATAATGAAAACCTCAATGTGAAAAGTAAAAATTAAAAAAAATAAAAATTGATGACCTGGGCATTGATTAGGGCAGGTTCTGATGTCCACGGAATCATTAAGGGATTGGCAATCTCTACTACATTTCTTCATAATCTTTTTGAGGTTCTTGAAGCCAACACCAGGGAGCTCATGCTCCTGGCTTTGCATGTACTCCTGGTAAGTCTTGCAGAACTTCATCTTTCCGCAGAAACATGGAGGAGCACAATCCGCAGTCTTTGTCCTTCAAACGATGAATCTTCCTTTTTTTTTTTTAAAAAAAAAAAACGCACACCATAAATTAGAAATGAGTTTGAAAATTTGAATAAAAAGGGGTCGACTTCCTATTTTGTGTTTCAAATCAAAAATCATGTGAATCGTAGCTGTCAAGCCTATGTTAATCGGACTGACGTGTGCAAAAAGGGTAAACTAAGCATGTTACTATGTTTGACGCTTCCGAATTCCCCTTTTACTCCGAAAACGTCCAAAATATCCCATGGTAATCCAACATAACAGGAGAAAGCTATATAATTATATTTTTGTCTATTTATATGAGATAAGAGATATTTAAATTTACTTAAAATTCAAAATAGAAGGAGTAATTAATTTATCATTATTTAAAGAAGGAAAATATACTTTTTATTATAATTTTTTTTACAGTAATCCATTACAATTATATATTTCGAGAATACATGATTATGTAAAGTTATTTTTTTTCTTCTCTCGTTTTGAAGTGAGAAAAAAAAACTTTACAATTATAATTATGTATTTTCGAAAATACATAGTAATAATCGGTTGCTGTAATTTTTTTTTTTTACAGCATCGTTAAAAGAAAGAGACCCTTTAAAGAAATAACATTTGTTTTATCATTTACTTGAAATTCAATCACTTATATATAAATTTTGAATTGAGATATATACAAAATCTGAAAAATATTTTTGCAGTTAATGCAAATAAGTTATCTGCATTTACTTCCAAAATGACATCATTTTGCGATTGAAAGATTAAAAAATTATAATTATAAAGACTATAATAATCCTGAAATAAATTAAAATTATAAAAACACCATAATTTTCGCTCCAAAACGACCTCGTATTGAGCTTACTGCTCTGTAGTAACTGCAGAAAAAGTGAACCAATAGAAAATATGAGTAACATGTGGTATCAACTTACCGTGTGTTTTATTTTAGGGAAATTATTATCTTCTGTTGAAGCAGAATTCTTTTTCCTTATGCGAGGAGTATTACTCTCATGTTACATGAAAGTAATTCTCTCATGCTATACAGAGAATTCAAGTGGGGTCTACTAATAAAAAGCAAAAAAAGAAGAAGAAAAAAATGAAATGTGATATTCAAAGTGAGAGAACATGGGATAATTATCTCATATAAAATGAGAATAGTATTGCCAAATTGATAAAAGTTAGATACATGTTTTTAGAAAATGCATTATGTCACACATTTGAGGTCAAGGTGTCCACTAAAACTTTAATTTAAATGTATACAAAATGAAATGAGACTAGTTTTAATTAATAATAAGATGCGCAGATATGCTCTAAGAAATTGAATTGATCAAAAATCCATTAGTATGGAACATTTTCGTTTCCATTTGAGTTTAACGGGTCCACAAAGATAATGGGCCTGAATTCAAATTATTTGAAAATGATAAAACGGGCTAGCAAATATATTTAGCTTAAACTAAAATTTTAAAAGTCAAACTTTTGTTTTTTTATATGTTTACTATATGAAACATATTGAGGCCCAAATCCAATAGTTGTATGCAGGCAACTTCACGGGATGGGTTGTCTTAAATAAAGAGTTTTTTATTTAAAAAAAAAATAAAAATAAAGAGTTTTTTTAGTGTCTATGCTCGGATGCTCCTTAGCGCCGTGGTTTTGGTTCGACTGTGGGAATTTTATTTATTTATTTTTAACTCAGAATCAAAGGGATTATTAGGATTAGGATTAGGACTACGCCGTCGATTAGGATTCAGCCGAATCGGTACGTTTAACACAGAAAAAAACAACAACTTGCTAAACTAAATTTTGAAATATTATAATAAATCTTATTTAAAATTAACATAGCTTCCAATAAACTAAAAGATAACATACAGAAAGGCAATTTTGTTCACATTGGTTATCTCATGATAAAAACTAAAAGTAATTTAATTACTGAATTTTGTGCATCTAACGGTTAAGACTTATTGAGTTTTATTTATTTAGTAATTATTAATTTTCAATAATCTTAATTGTTAAATGCATAAAAATTAACGATTAAGATTTGATGTAATACTTATTATTCTTACACCGACGTAAGTTCATTCTATCCACACACATATATACACTAGGTAGCACCGATACCGACACGGGACACGACACGACTCGACACTCTGACACGTTAATTCTAAAAAATGTTAGATTTCGACACGTTAGAACACGTTTTGATATTAAATAATATAATTTATGTAGTGTATATTATATTTAATATTCAATAATCTAACAAAAAAAATGAAGCTAAACTTATAGCCATCAATTTTGTAAAGAAACATAAGATATTCCAAATATTTATATTAAACTCAATAAAATGGTAATCGTAATTCAAAGAATCTAATAGTTGGAAATAAAAACGCAACACAAAACATCCTTTGAACCTTTTTTTAAGTCTCTACAACGTGTGTTGGAGTGTCGGACACGACACGTCAGAATTTTTGAAGTGTCGGTGCTTCGTAGTATATATATATATATATATATATATATATATATATATATATTAATGAGTTAAAATGTTTAATTTATTATTTGAATTGTTAAAATAAAAATAAAAATCACAATTATGAAATAAATTTTATTGATATAAAAATTCTACCAATAAATTTTTTAAATCACATATATAATGTTCAAGACTAACCGTTTTACAACTAAAAAAGAAAATTTTTGATAATTATTTTCAACTAATTTTTATAATTATTTTTCAACGTATTCATAAATTACATAAAAACAGGCAAACATCCTAAAGTGGTAATAAATTTTGCGCTTGAAAATTCCATCACGTATATGAGAACATGATTTAACAAACAAATATAATAATATAAGATTTTCAAATATACTAACATATGCTAAAGAGAGCTCGTTTTGATGGGTTTTCAATTTTTTTTATAACTTGTTTATTTTAAAAGTATTTTTCACAAAACTAAATTTTTTTAGATTTTAAAAAAAATATTTGATTTTTGAAAAAAAAATAACTTTTAACTTCTACTTTTTTTAGAAATTAAAATTTTTAGTTTAAAAAAGGAGAGCATGTTTTTAATTTTTGTTGTGATTTATATATATATTTTTAAAGTAAACATACAAATGAATCTTTTTTGAGAAACATTTTTTTTAAAAAAATAACTTTTGTAGAAAAAAAAAGTCCATTCAAATGGACTCTAAACAAAGTTTTCGATTCTGTATGAATAAACAAGATAAGATAAGATAAATCACGTTCAGATCAATCTTATCCAAGAATATAATGAAACGAAGCGAAATTCCACTTTGGTCCAATACTAAACGACAAAAATTTCACGTTCAATCAGCAAAAAAAAAACAAAAACGTAGAAAGAAGAGAATAATGTTACAAAAACGTAGAAAGAAGAGAATAATGTTATTTTTTCATGTCTGTTCGTTTTAAGAAGTTTTTTTTTATGGGTTTCTCTTTTCTCATGTCACATGAGATATCATCTCTCATGTCATAGACACAATAAGTGATGGGCCCCACCACTTATTAAAAAAGAAAAAAAAAGGAAAAAAGATAGCACGAATTTCGATGTCTCACAACATGAGAAAACTATCTCCTATTACATGAGAAAATGATTTCCCTTTTTTTTATATATGATTTCGCTTTTTCTGTAGTTATTGTAAATAAGTTGTCTATACTAAATCTAATACGATATTGTTTTGAGGAAAAAATTATGATATTTTTATAATTTTAATTTATTTTAAGGTTATTATAATCTTTATAATTATAATTTTTTAATTCAAAACGATCTCGATTCAAGAGTAAATACAAATAACTTATCAGCAACAACTACCAAAACATTTGACTAAAAATATAGTTAACAATTGTTTAGAAAGTGAAAGTATATTTCCATACAAGTTTCAATTTATAATATATTTATAAACTCTTATAAATTATAATAAATATTTTTGATAATATATTTTCAATGAAGTTTATTTTTGAAAATATATAATTGACTTTATAAATAAATTTTTTGTAAATATAATATTTTTCTTGTAATATTATCTGAGGAAATGCATTTACGGAAAGGAAATTCTATAATCATGAATTAATCTCGTTGACAATATTTATGTGACAAATGAAAAATAAATAAAGAAATCGAATTTTAAAAAAGTAGTTGAGTCTGTGTTGTGCTGGATCATATCATTTGAGTTACGACAAGTAACACCCCCCCTACACTTTCCGCAAAGGTCGAGAGTTTTCCGATGTCGTTTTCATGCATTGCTTCGACAACAAAGCAATGATGAACGAGCAAGTTGTTTCAGCACGTTGTTTTACACTTTTATGGTTTGATTTGGTTTTTTATTATTATATATATATACATGTGGTCTGTGTTGTATTAGAAACAAGTGAACTAAAGAGAAAGCCATTGATATTGTTATTGTTATTATTGTTGCTTATTGTTGTTCCATTTTCGTTTTGATGGCGACATCATCATCAACAGAGTCAGAGAAGCAAGTAATGGTGGTTGGCATAGACGACAGCGAGCACAGCTCGTACGCACTGAAATGGACTCTTGATCACTTCTTCCCCAACCCAATGTTCAAGCTTGTTCTTGTCCATTCGAGGCCTTCTGCTACTTCTGCTGTTGGCCTCGCTGGCCCTGGTATATTAAACACTCTTTCTTTTCTTTTTTCTTTTTTTTGTTTGATTTTGATGTTTGTGAATATGAATGACTTCCCCTCAGTGTATGCAGGAGCTGCTGAGGTTTTGCCTATTGTGGATTCCGATTTGAGAAAGATTGCAGCCAGAGTTGTCGAAACTGCTAAACAACTCTGCATCAAGAATTCCGTAATTTGATTTAATTCAGTTTTTTTTGACTTTGGAACTTTGGATGCTTTTCAATTTGTTAACCTTCTATTTATAACGTGGCACTGGCACTCCGTATAAATTTATTGTAGAAAAAGATTAGAATTTTGATGAAATTCTTTATGGGAAAATAAAGAGAAGATGAAGGGAAGAGTCTAATGATTAACTGATTGATTTTTGTGATAAGACAACATATTGGTATTTCACTTGTTCATGTGTTCACACAAAAGGTTTTGGGTGAAAATTTCTCTCTCCATGTGTTTTCTTTGTGGTTTGTATGGTGCCTGTTATCCTAGTGACTTGTGTCTGAGGTATCCGTATCCTCTGGCTTATGGTTCTAAAGGTCCTAACTAGGTGACAATCTTCACTTACCTTATGTGGGGCTTGGAGCACACTATATGGTGTCAGCAAGATGTATTCTGATATTATTTCTGCTAATAGCCTGAACTGAACTAGATTAAGACTTAATGCATCACGCTCAGGGCAAGACTAGTACAATTAGCATTATCTCTGCTAGTTCTGCTCTTCATTCAAGATATGATTATTAAGATCTGTCACTTTCTTTTGTTCCTAAACCTGGATCCACCAAGAGTCATTTAACGTTGTATTTTGATTTAATGGCTTCAATTACTTTAAATAAACCAGCCTCTGGGTGTTGCTTTATGATAATTTCTATCCATGTTTGTTTTTGGAGTGAAATTATTGAAAATTGTCTTATATTGCATATCCATATTTCTATTATTTAGTTCTAAGAAAAGTATGGTTTATATTTGTATCATCATAGAATTTACTTTTCTAGTTTGGGACAGAAGGAAAATCAGACATTATATGATTCTATATCATTTTACTTCATTTCTCATGTTTCAGTGCTTTATTTGTAGTTTAGGTCGGAATAATTATCTCATAACCAAGTTTTTCTCAGGTAAATGATGTAATAGCGGAAGTGGTGGAAGGTGATCCTAGAAATGTTCTTTGTGAAGCTGTGGAGAAGCACCATGCTTCAGTATTGGTGGTGGGTAGTCATGGTTATGGGGCAATAAAAAGGTACAGCTTCATTCTAAAATCCCAGTTATCATCCTTGCTAAGCAATGATGAGTGGTTGGAGTATAATAAGTACCTTTCTTAATCTTGTGAATGAGGGTAAATGATAAATATTGAGTTTTAGCATTTTGTAATGATCCAATATCATCACAATCACAAAATTAAGTTGCCAAGAACATGAGTAAAATGTGATTTTCCATATTTTAAATCCATTGAATTCTTTACCAAAAAATAAAAAAATCCATCTAGTATTGGCAGGCCCTAAACGGTTCCTTTAGTTTGTGCTTCTGCAGAAGCTAGACCAGCAGTAGTATTTTAGTGTCGTCTGTATGTTGTATTCGCTTACAGTTTTCTACTCATCATACTGATCACAAACTCTCTGTATGATCATTTTCATTTCAACCTATGGTAACAATTTTTATTTTTCTCAATTTTATTTGACTTTTTGGTTTTATTTATAATGAATTGAACAGTGCATTCATTCTTGCCAGAAGCCAACACTAAACTTCAAAATCTCCTAATTCTGGTATTCTTGACACTTGTTATTTGCAGGGCGGTTTTAGGTAGTGTAAGTGACTATTGTGCTCATCATGCTCACTGCACTGTGATGATCGTGAAGAAGCCAAAGACCAAACACTGATTTACATTGGCTGCGTCTATATAGTACAGCAATAAACACAGTCCTTTTAGTAAAAAAAGAAAAAAAAAGAAAGAATAATGTTCTTAGAAAATATGTAACTTTGTATAATTTGTTCTATGGCTTGTTGGCTTTATAGTTTATAACTTCTTATTTTTAAAGATGGAACCATCAGAAAATAAGTTAGTGTTGGAGTGTTCCCCCTTACCAGGGGCCTTATTTACTTCTTCCATGAGAAATTCTTGTATTGATGTGTTTCCAATTACTGCTGTTTACTTCTTTTCCTGACATAAAATAAAAATTGCTGTTCTTTGTGTTAATAACTTGTGAATGTGGCAATGGCCTTCTCTCCGTTTTATATAGATACCAGGGAAAAGATTTGACAAGACAGATTGGAGGAAATGAGACAGGGTAGAGAATTGGACTAGAATCGAGGTTGTGCATCGTACTGTGCCACTAGGCTGAGCAATATTGAGCTAGCTCATTTCTAGTTTAAATTGAGTTCGAATCCGAAATGACAATAGGCCCCGGGTAATATTAGTGCTGAACTTTTTGAATTCAGCTCCTCCTCTCAATTAAAGGTCGATGAAAAAGAAGTAAAGAATCTTATTTTTTTATGAAAAAATCGACTGTCAATCTGACATACATCCATAACAAATTATATCCTCAGGCCATGATTTTTTTATACCAGAATCGGTTATACTTTTAATTTTGGCTATTAATATCATTTATATCTACATTGAATACAAGTTAATAAATAATTATGAATGAATATAAAACTTTTTATTCTTAAATGATTCAGTCCCATATACTTATTTAAATTTTCCACCAAAATATTGCATTCCATTTTGTTATTTCTTCTACTTTGATTAAGCATTTATTTTTGGGAAATAGTTATATCATATCATAGGAAATTGGTTATGTCATTTTATAGATACAATAAATGTGGCACATTAGTTGTGTTTATAACATGACACAACTAATTTCCTAATACAACTATTTCCCTTTATCTTTTCAGACTTTGTACGTGTCTCTAAATTCATTTGTGGGGTACATAGATGGGCGATAAGAATATTTTTATGGAAAATACTATTCTCATTTTATACGAGATAATTACCTCATGTTATTTCGCTTCAAAAATCTCACTCACTCATTTTTTTTTTATTTTATCTTTTAATGGTGGGTCCGATATGACTTCTCTCTGTAACATGGAATTCCTCTTGTGTAAATTGAGACTAACCTATTTTTATCTATAGGAATTTTAAGACGTTTGAAAATGAAAAACCTCCGAGTGTAGCTGGTGTTTGTGGACATGAGGATTTGTGATTTCTAGAAGTTGATAGTTAGACTCGAGATTGCAAACAGAATCAGGTTTCTCGGAAATAATGTGGCCGAATAAAGTAAAAATAATTAAAAATAAAATTTTGTCAGAGGTTGGTTGACATAGAAAGAGATCTGGATAGACAGGACAGTTTAAAGACTATGCCTCGTCGGATTTATGCTGTTTAGAAACGAAGTTTTTGTCATTTGCTGAAGAAAAAAGAAAAAAGAAAAACAATTGAATGGCAGAGATGAAAAGGGTATAAGTTTTGAACGCTAATATTTCCTCCCCAACTCTTATTTGAGAAATTCAGTGCCGAAAAACATTATTATTATCATTTTTCATTTTATAGTATCTAAATTTAATATTGTATATGTTACAGATATATTGTAATTAGGGTTTCCTTATTTTGTAATTAGAGTTTCCTTATTTTGTATTAGGTCAGATTACATTAGGTTTGGGCTTAGCCCATTAGTCTGTTTATATATTGTACAGCCTTCATCAGTCAATACACACAAAAATATTTCAAATGTTCATCTCTTTTCTCTTGTTATTTAACATGGTATCAGAGTCTAAGGAACTTTGAATTTTTTTTTCGGTGAACCCATTGTTCATTGTCGGTTAATTTTTTTTTCTTTTCCGGAGCTGTCTTCTTGTCACTTTTCGGACGCTTCTCTCTCTGCATACAGCTTCTGTCTTGTCCAGAACCACCATCCGGTCACCTTTTCCGGCGATCCACATACCGCCGTGATCGTCTCCGCCGCGCAGTTCCAACGTCACCGGTCTCGTCCAATTTCAAGGTCACACGCGCCCTCACGCGCCCTCACGCGCGCGTGACAGCTCGACCACTCTCCTTCACTCCGGCGGCGCGTGGAGGCCCCTCTCCGGCCGCGGCTGGTTGCGATCTTCTCATCTCCTTGCGTAGGTTCTGGATCTGGTCTTGTTTTGGGTTTTGGACCTCTTTTTGTGTTGACGCACATATCCCTCTTCTACCGGTTAGTTTTTGACCTGTTCTTTATGCCTTTTTCCTTTGATTATGGATACTCTTGTCTCCAATGTTTCTGTTTCTGGGACTCCGGCGAGACAAAAGTCGGAGTCTACTATTTTCTCAAATTATATCCTTGCTTCGTTGAGTGTGGATAAATTGGATGGGTTCAATTATGATATTTGGTCTTCCGATTTGCGACTCTGGTTGGATGGGCAGAATTATACATCCCATCTCACCACTAAAGCTGAATCTGTGACGGAAAATGAGCACACACAATGGAAGATGATTAATGCTCAGTTGTGTAGTCTCATTAAAGCTACTCTTCATCCGTCTATCAAGCAGATTTTTCGACCTGCTGTTACCTGTGAAGCTATTTGGAGTCAGGCAAAAGCTTTTGTGACTTGGTGGTCTGAGAAGCAAACATCAGGTCCTACTGCATCCATTGCTCCCACTGGTAATTCTGGTAATTCTTTTGCTGGCATATCTCAGTTGCACTCTATTGGCCCTTGGACTCTAGATTCTGGGGCTTCTGATCACATTTCTGGTAATAAGTCCTTATTCACTTCCCTTTGTACTACTGGTTCTTTTCCCACTATTACTATGAGCAATGGGTCTCTGGTCCAATCAAGGGGGATTGACACGGTTCTTCTTTTACCTAATTTATCTCTGGATCATGTTCTATATGTTCTCGATTCTCCTTTTAACTTACTTTCTATTAGTCGGTTGACCAAATCCATTAACTGTGTTGTTTCTTTTACTAAAACCTCTGTCATCTTTCAGGGTCAGAGTTCGGGGAAGGAGATTACCAAAGGATGTGAGTCTCAGGGCCTCTATCAACTAGTTCCCTCTTCTTCAGTCTGCTCCTCTGTGGATTCTCCTCTTACTATCCATGCTCGTCTGGGCCATCCTAGCCTTGCAAAGCTTCAGAAGATGGTTCCCCATTTATCATCTCTTTCTACTTTAAATTGTGAGTCTTGTCAGTTTGGGAAACATACTCGTAGTACGTTTCTGAGTCATCTTAGTCGTCAAGTTGTTTCTCCTTTTTCTGTGGTCCACTCTGAAGTTTGGGGACCAAGACGTCATTCTTCTACTTTGGGTTTTAAGTACTTTGTTACTTTTATTGATGATTATTCCAGATGTACCTGGTTATTTTTAATGAAAAAGCGGTCTGAGTTGTTTTCTATTTTTCAGTTATTTTATAATGAAATAAAAACTCAATTTGGTATTTCTATTCGTACTTTTCGTAGTGATAATACATGTGAGTACTTATCTCATCAATTTCAACAATTCTTTTCATCTCATGGCATTCTTCATCAAACATCTTGCCCTCATACACCTCAACAAAATGGTGTAGCCAAGCGCAAGAATCGCCATCTGGTTGAAACCACTCGTGCCTTGTTAATTGATGGTAATGTTCCATACACATTCTGGGGTGATGCTATACTTACTGCATGCTATCTCATTAATCGCATGCCATCATCTGTTCTCAATCATAAGGTACCTCACTCTATTTTATTTCCCCATCAAGCTTTATATCCTTTAACTCCACATGTGTTTGGTTCTACGTGTTTTGTTCATCATCTTGGTCCAGGTTTGGATAAATTAGCTCCCAAGTCTCATAAATGTGTTTTTCTGGGTTATCCTCGGTCTCAGAAGAGTTACCGTTGCTACTCTCCCACTTTACGTCGATACTTTATCTCAGCGGATGTCTCCTTTTTTGAATCAGTTCCCTTTTTTGGAACCTCTACTACTCTTGTGGATACTGATTCTGTACAGTCGTCCTTCCCAAGTGACCTTCTTTACCTTCCATCTTTACCCATCCATGTTTCTCACTCTTCTTCTATTACCTCTTCTGCTGATGAGATCGAGCATAGTTCGTCAGATGTATCTGTGGACTCACATTCAACTGCATCTCCTCCCACGGCTTCCATCCCACCTTCGGATAATGACCTTCCCATTGCTCTTCATAAGGGTACTTGTGATACTCGCCCTCCGGCCAGGTATACAGTCAATATTAGTTATCATCGTCTTTCGCCATCATATTTTGCTTGCCTTTCCTCTTTGTCCTCTGTATATGTTCCTAAGACCACATGTGATGCACTTTCACATTCGGGATGGAGACAAGCTATGCTTGATGAAATGAGTGCTCTTCATCATAATGGCACATGAGACCTGGTGCCTCTTCCTTCTGGAAAATCTGTGGTTGGTTGTAAATGGATTTATGCTGTTAAGGTTGGACCTGATGGTCAAGTGGATCGTCTTAAAGCTCGCTTGGTGGCGAAGGGTTTCACTCAGGTCTTTGGCTTGGATTTTATTGATACTTTTTCTCCTGTGGCGAAAATGTCTACTGTTTGCCTTTTTATTGCCATGGCTGCTATTAGCCATTGGCCTCTCTACCAACTGGATATCAAGAATGCTTTTATTCATGGTGATCTTGAGGAAGAAATTTATATGGAGCAACCTCCTGAATTTGTTGCTCAGGGAGAGTCAGGTCTTGTTTGTCGTCTTCGTAAGTCTCTCTATGGCCTCAAACAATCTCCAAGAGCTTGGTTTGGTAAATTTAGCAGTGTTGTTCAACAATTTGGCATGACTCGGAGTGCAGCTGATCATTCTCTCTTTTATCGTCATTCTGCTTCTGGATCTATTTATCTGGTGGTATATGTGGATGATATTGTCATTACAGGCAGTGATCAGCATGGGATCACTCGATTGAAACAACACTTATGTCATCATTTTCAGACTAAGGATCTTGGAAAACTTTGATACTTCTTAGGAATCGAGGTGGCCCAATCTAAAGCTGGTGTTGTGATATCTCAGAGGAAATATGCTCTGGATATTCTTGAAGAAACTGCTCTGTTAAATTCCAAGTCTGTTGATACTCCTATGGATCCAAGTATCAAGCTTCTACCAAATCAGGGGGAGCCCTTTTCAGATCCTGAGCAGTATAGAAGATTGGTTGGAAAATTGAACTACCTCACAGTCACTCGGCCTGATATTTCCTTTGCAGTTAGTGT